GCCATCACTGGAGCAAGCAAGCCTCCCTGTTCGCTTCAGTGCATGGCTGCCGGCCGCCATCTTAGTTGGCAGTTGATTTGCATAAGGATATGCTGATTAGCCAATGGGAAGGGTAGCGGTCGTACGCTAATTACCATGTTTCTCTTTTATTAGTGTAGATATGCTATAATATCTTTTTCCTCCAATATGTATATGTTCTGCTAAATCCCATGAAACATATAAAGAAATATAAGACCCAGTTCCTGCCATCAAGTAGTTTATAATACAATTGGGGTAAAAATACATATGCTGGCAGAGTTAATTATCAATTCAATTGTTGGCACAGATAAAATGTGCAGTGCATAGTACAGTGCCTGGCACATAGAAGGCACTCAAGAAATGATAGATAGATGGATAGGTGGGTGGGTAGACAGACGAATGGATGGATGGATGAGTGAGCAGATGGATGGGTGGGTGGATGGATGGTTGAGTGGATGACTGGGCAGATGGATTGACAAATTAATTAGAGGTATAGGACTATAAAGGAGAGAAGCTCACTGATCACAGATGATTGAATTTCAGTAACTATTGATTTTTATAGTCTAGAGATTATTTCAAGAAAGAGAAGATAGACTAGCTGGGCCTTCAGGAACTTGTAAGAGTAGAGTTTAACTCTTCACCTAGAGTAGTGAAGGAATTCCAGGCCCAGGGCCCAGCATGAGCAAAGGCGGTGAGACAGAATGAGCACGATATGACTGGGAATGTCAGATCTCCAGAACAGGAATGACTTTTCTAAAGCAAAAAAAAAAGGAGTTTATTTTGAAAATTGAATGGGATTACAACATAGAACATCTTGAATTTTAAGCTGAAGTATTTAAATAATCCATAAGCCTGGGCAGCTTTAGAAATATTTGCATAAAGTAATTAATGTTATAAGGAAAATGTTTTAGGCAACAAATTTGGTAGAAGTATGACTTTGTGTTAAATATAAAGATATGAGACAGTTTAATACATGGTGAATATTTGAAGTATTCAACTGGGATTTTAAAGTATTTTCAGAAAGAACTGCACAAGTTGATCTTGCTGTATTATCATTAAAATATTCCTGTATGCAATCGAAGTTTCTGAGACAGTTCTGTCAAATTCAGCTTTAGATCAATAAGTATTCTCATTGAGAACTAAAAGATTACAACATGTGAGGATACAAAGTTGGCATAAAAGTTAGATGCCTCCAAATGTTTCATGAATAATGTTTAATAAATTTTTCATATGCTAGAGGAAAGGTAATAATTTATGTCTTCTGGAATATTCAACCTAACTTCTAGGCATGTCTGAAAATTGGCATTTCTTCCATGTAAGTTCTCATTGCACTAGAAGAAGTTGTATACATCGTCACTTCTCTTTAATCCTATTACTTTATCTCACAAAATTGATGATGTCATCATATGAATACAAGTGGTCTTTGAGCAAACATGTGGGTTAGAATCCAGCCCAACCACTGAATTGTTGGGCAATCCCAGCCAAGTTTCTCTCTGATCCTCAATTTTCTCATTCATGAACGATGATAAATAATAGCATTAACATCTTTGATTGTTAGGAGGATTAAATGTAAAAATATGCACTTGTGCCTGCCATGTAAAAACAACACATGAATGATAGTCATGTTACTAGTGATGATAATGTTATACACATTCATTTTCTTGTTGTGATTGTTTACTTGTCTTGTTTTATTTGTTTTAAATCATTGCTATAAAGAAAGCTAGGATCCCTTAGGGGGATGTGTGTTCTCTGCTGAATGAAATTATAGCTCAACATGTATAGCACAGGTTGCTCATAACCACAGCAAAGCTGACCAGCTTCTTGCCTTTTGTAGTGAGCCATCTCTATGGTTTTGGACTGATGGATGCAGAAGCCATGGTGATGGAGGCGGAGAAGTGGACCACTGTTCCTCAGCAGCATGTGTGTGTAGAGAGCACAGACCGACAAATCAAGTAAGGTTTGCCGCAAGTACATAGCACATCAATGTCTTGAAAGAGTGCAGGCCAGGGCAAGTGCTCAGGATAGCCCTGCGTTACACATGGAAGCTAAAACCGGTGTAGTTTTTTTCTAATGTAATTACAAACTCTAATAGAATGTCTGGGATACGAAGCTGTTAAATCCACAAAGTAGAACCCAAGTATCCTTAAAAGAAAAGCATCTCTTAAAAGGTGATTTGGGGGTGGGGGGTGGGGGGGGGGACTCTTGATGGGCATTCTTAAGACTTCTACTCTATCAGTATATCTATTTGTTGTTATAAGTATTCTTCGTAAGTCAATGTACTCCAAGAAACTAAATAGCATGTTCTGGTAGCTTAACTCCATACCATGCAGTTCTCCAGAGTGGGGGAAATGCACAGTTAATGAGATTGCAGTTTACTTAGAGATCCCAGGGCCCGTTCCCAGGTTTCAGCTGCACAAACGTGAAGGCTGTGCTGACAGGGTTGACCTAGCGAGAATGTGAAGTCTCTCCTAGGTGCTGAATCCACAGAACAGGATACATCTTCATGATTTTATTCGTATTTTGCTTTTGGCTTTCTTTTTTAGAGAGTTGGCTCTCATAAAAATATTTATGGACTTTGTTTATGATAAAACTAGAGCCATTGTAATTCTTGAGAAAATTTGTCAGGAAGCAGAAATAAATGAAGTAAAGTGGGGTTTTTCCCCATATTCATTTGTGGCATAGAATAACAGAAAAAAGATAAAGGAGTGGAAAGTGAACCAGTATTTATGGAACACTTATTAAGGGCCCTGCCAAGTGCTAGAAACTTCATGTGTGTTTTCTTATTAAAAGTTTGTAAACGTTTGGGTATTACTCCCATTTGACAAATGAGGAAGCGAGATCAGTGGGAATATTTGTTTATTCATTCACAAATTTATTTACCAGTTCGGCAACTATTTTTCTTGCACTTACTGAATAGCAAGCACTGAGCTAGATATTAAGGGGAATGAGAAGGGCTTCCTTCCCTTTGAAGTTTACAGTCTTGTGGGAGTCAAGTCAAAAAAATATAAGTAAATAATTCTAAGTTACAATAAGTGAATGTTGGGCATACAAAGGGTAGAAAATAAGAGTGGCGACATATTTTTCCTGTGGTTCAATGACAGTCTCAGAGAGTGAAATTTAAGCTTTGGCCATGAAGAGTCAGTCATAGGAACAGCAGAGGGTGGGGGGAGGGGGCCCTGAGTTGGAAAACTATCCCAGAACTTGAACTGAGGCCAGTGTGGCTAGAGCCCAGTGTTCAAGGGGGGTAGGGGGGAGGGGGCAATGGCACAGAAAGAAGCTAGTGAAGAGGACAGGAACCTGTGGACAAGAGGAAGTGTGTACCCCTGGGTTATAGAGTAAGGAAATGGTAGACCAGGGTCAAATCCCACAGTCATGCTAATCCCCAAGCTTTCACTGTACCATGGTACTCTATAGCAGTGGCTCTCAAAGTGTATTCCATAGACCAGCAACTTCCCTATCACCTGGGAACTTGTTAGAAATGCTAATTCTTGGGATCTAGCCCAGCCTTACTGAATCAGACACTGGGTCCAGGGCCCAACAATCTGTGTTTTATAAGCTGAGATTCTTACGTTGGAAAAGCACTACCTGTGTGAAGGTAAAAGGCCCTCAATTCCCCCTTTCCTCTCGATTGCATCTTTCCCGCTGTCTAAAGTGTTAATCCTTTCAATGACCCAACCATTTGGTGATAGCACTGTGTCCTTGCGTGTCCAGCGGCCAGCTGCTTGTATTACATTGTGCAATGTCATTCGAGGCCTGCAGGCTCTCTTCGCCAGGAACCTCACTCAAACCCCCTCTCTCTCTGTTGCAGGACAATTCGCCCCAACAGTGCCGTGCGCTCCATCTACAAAGCGTCGGGCTGCTCGGATAACCCCAACCACCATGTCAACTACCTGGAGCACGTAGTTGTGCGCATAACCATCACCCATCCCAGGAGGGGTGACCTGGCCATCTACCTGACCTCACCCTCAGGAACCAGGTCCCAGCTTTTGGCCAACAGGTACCATGATAACCTCTGCCCACCAGAGTGTGAGTCACACTGACACTCAGCTGTTCTTTAGGGAGGAAAGGGCAGCTGCTCTCTATTTACTACCCTAAGAACTAACTAAGGGGCACACAGATGTCATGATGGATAGTCACTGCCCATACATAATTAGAGAGTGTGAAGCTGCAAAGAACAGTAGCACATATAATAGTTGGGGAATATGAAAGGGATGCTGCAGAAAAATGGAAGGCCACCTGTTGTTCCTTATCCTAAAATGATACATAGAGCCCTAACTCCTTAGGCCTCTGAGATTCTTCCCCCTGTCCTTAAATGTCCGCTGGCATTTGGTACAGATTAGCTGACTTCTCTTGCCCAAGCATTTTCTGAAGTTCAAGGAAATTCTATTTGTTTTAAAAAGGGTACTGGCAAATTTTCCCCCACAAACAGTCAATTAGTAAATGTTTTGAGCTTTGCAGGCCATGTTTCTGTTATAGCTACTCAACTTGGCCATTAGAGTGCAAAAGCCACTGTAGACGATATAAATGGATGGGCATGGCTGTGGTCCAGTAAAACTCTATTTACAGAACAGGCAGAGGGCAGCTGTGGCTTGAGGAGGCTGTGTAGCTGACTGACCCCTATTTTAAAGGCTAGCCCTTTAGTCTTTATTGCCCCAAAGGGCACTCAGTTTCTCTTCTTAGCCTTGTCACTTCTCCCCACCCCCTGTGCCAGGATCCTGAGAAAAGGCCAGAATGTTCTAGCCCAAGCTTTCTTTGCCCCACTGGCTTTTTGAGTGGTTGGGAGCATGGGGGGGGGCAGGGGGGAGGGGCGGTGCTTGTCAACAGGTGGGACCAGATGGGAAAATATCAGGTTGTCCTATACACCTCATTCCCATTATGGTTCTAAAGTACAAACCATAAGACAAGCAGAAAGGAGCCTAAAAGAGTCTTTCATTTTATATTTTTCTCCAAGAGGAACATTTAATGGGAGTAAAAACCTCATCATCAATGGCATATAGAGTCCAAATGAAAGCCAACCTAGTATGGAGTACACGTGCCAGGGGACCCTGGCAGCGCGGGTCTTTGTTAGCAGCCTTAACAACAAGCCGGAGGAGGTGAGAGGCCAGGAGCCAATGCAGGCCTGCAGATCCGAAGTGAGCCTGGGCAGTTGCCAGTTGCTTTTCAGAATCCCCAAATTCTATCTGCAATGGGACAGGGAGAAAAAGGGAGAGCAATAAGTAGCGCTTCCAGTACAGATTCCTAAATCTTCAATTGCATTTTCTTTCCGCACTTGAAAGACTTGCCGTGTTCTTTAAAACCTGACAGCTCCCATTCCAGCATGGGGACGTCTGGGCGTAGAGCTTTATGAAGCGCTGGGTCCTCCGCACCCTGTAGACGGGTCTCCGCTGTCACCTGCCAGGTCATTGCACATACCTGCCTGATGCTTCTTTTCAACAAGCGAGGCCTTCAGATGCACAATGACATGATTAATGGAGGTCACACTAGCCTTTGTTACTGAACCCAGAGAAGACCCTTTTCTCTGTTGTTTCTTTTCTGTCTTCACCATTGTTCATCTGCATGGAACCTGAAAGAGATTGCAGGTGAAACATTGTGAAGTGCACACACGGGCAGCTCTTCTGCCTCCAGCCCCTCTATCGTGGAAAAACAGTCCTTCGCAGTTGCTGTGTGCTTGGAAAGCTCAGCCTCCTCCGCCTTGCTGGGCTCTTCCTGCACATTCTGGTATTTTGTGTTGGCTTCCCCCAAAATGACTTCAGTGAGGAAACTTGTGAGCAGAGGAGCTGTGGGTGCCGCTCGTCACAGGCGTTTGGTGGATGACGAGGTCCCTGGCGTCAGTCGCACATGCATTCTTGAACCACGGACATCTGCTTTGCTCTTTGCAAAGTGCTGAACCCAAGATCGCTGCCTGACTTGTGTCGGAGAAAAAGAAACATGCATTTCAGGCGCTCAGCGACTGGCGGTCCCGAGGTTTCCCTCAGTTTCCCCAATCAAGGGCTCCCAAGAATGAGATTTGCACCCAGAGTGGGGCTTCTGGGTCTGGAGCATTTTCTTAACCACTGCTCTTTTGGACATTTTCCATCTCAGGAAAACAAGTAGCCCCCCAAAGAGGTACACAGTCTAGACTGGAGAAGGGGCTGACGGCACCGAGAGATGTAAAGGATGTTATGAATTCATTTGTCTACAGCTCCCCCAAAACATTGCTCTGAGCGGCTGACTCCTTAAATGTAAAACAGCTGCCCCAGGTCCCAAAGCCACACGTGGCCACGTTCCAGGGCCTGGCTCCCCTGTCCCCGCTGTGCTTGACACTGGTAGCATCCCTCCTACCGAGGCGGCTCCGGGAAAGACGGTTTCTCTTGGCATTTCCTCCTTCTGGCGTATTCTGAAGCTTAAATTTTATGAGAGGAAATCTCTACTCAAAACCACTCCGTCTCAAGCCTAGTGGCAAGGAATCCTTGTGCCCTGTCACGTTGGCCCTGTTTAAAAACACATTCCCAGGACTGGGAGCTGGGGGCAAGCAGCACAGAAAAGGGTGGGGAGGCGGGGGGGAGGCCTACTTGCCTCCTGGCCTCCTCCTCGTTGGTCTGCAGGGCAAAACACTTCACCTCAAGGAAAAGGTGACTAGGTTGGGTTTTAGAAGGAATTTGTGTATCAAAGATTATAAATGAGAGCGATAAATTGCTCCCCTGTTTGCATATCTTTCCTTCAGGGAAGTCAAGATTTCTGAAGATCACATACAGCAGAGAACACTGTGCAGTTAAAAGATAGGATTCTGAAAGGTTTTAAATACAGAGTTTCCCTAGTGGAGGTGAGGGGGCATTTGAGGTGAAGAGGTAGAGCTGTGGCCAAGAGTCACTCCCATCAGGTCCCTCCTGCTCCTCCGGGAGGTGCAGCTCCTCACAGGGACTGTGGATTGGCTGTTGCAGGAAGGGAGGGTGCCGAGAGCGAGCCCACACCCCCTTTATGAGGCAAAACTAGACACGTGGACAAGGAGGGGAGACATGCCGCTCCCTTCTTCCCTGGGACTGTTCTTGTCAGTGTTGACAAAATAGGGATTATAGTCTTGGGCCCTGAAAATATTATCCTTAAGGGTAAATTCCCAAAGGGAATAAAGTCCTCCTTTTCCTAGACATTTCTGTGAGGCATTTCTTCAGCGCATCCTGTGCTTCCCCTCTGCACAGCAAGTCCTGGGGAATCGATTTTCCACCACGTCGCTGAGCACGTTAGGTCTGCGTGGGCCGTCCGGAGCCCCTCAGCGCCGCCCTGTGCGGGCTGCGGGGCACTTGCTGGAGCTCCTGTGGAGAACAGCTGCTGGGGGAAGAGCGTTTACCCAGGCATCTGCAGGTGCTGAGCCTGGAAGGCACTCGGCAGCATTGAGAGCCAGTCCAACTTGAGCTTGCGCCCCATTCGCCCAGCAGGCGAGCACCCCAGGGAAGCCAGGTGGATGATTTAGTGGGAGGGTGGGAGCCCTGAATAAACAGAGGAGTCCTCAAATGGACAAAGGGCAGTGCCTCCTCTCCCCTTTGTTTCCCCTGCCCTCCCACCCTTTGGGTTCCCCTCTTGGCCTGTTAGCCCTGCCTAACAAAGAGCCAGGCTAAATGATCGCCACAGATTGTTTGCTTCTGGGGAGAATGTAGAGATCTAGCACCGAACCGCAGGGGCAGCCAGGGCAGCTGGGATGCCTTGAAAATGTTTTTAGACAAGAGCAACTTTAGATAGGAGCTTTTGTTCTACGACATTCACAATCTGCCCTTGTAAAAATTTTCAAACAAAAGCATGTCTCATCAGATTCTTCCTTCAATTGCACTTGTTGAGAATTACAAAAAGCTGTCATCATCTTCCCCCTCCCTGAACCTCCCCTCCCCCAACTCATTGAGTTTTAGAGTTCGTTTCTCTGGGTTCCAAATTTTGGCCTCTGACAGAAAGCCTCCCTTTCTAAATTTGATTACAGCTGAGTATCTCTGCTTCTAATTAGGATCTTAAGTACAGAGGAGGTGCACTTTCTAAGCTGCAAAACCTATAGCCTTCTATCATGAACTATGGTTAAGTGTGGTGTTTATATTTGAATCATTTTGGTTGCTGCCCTTCCCACATGTTCAACAACAGACTGTGGACATTTGTAAAGTGTCAGGCTATATGCATGCATTTGTGACTTGCAGTACAAATGATACTTTTGCAGTGAAAGTTTTTCATTTCAGTAAGGCCTCCCCGTGAGAACCCTCTTCCTTCGTTCAAAAGAAGGGATGGCCTTAGAATTAGCCAGAGCTGGGTGATCTTGACTTCACCCGTTTTTCTGTTTGACTTTGGAAAGGTGATTCTCTCATCTGGAAAACAGACCTCATAGTGTGTGCCTCACAGGGTTGTTGCAAGTATTAAATAAGATAACGTAAAGCAAGTCCTCAGCACGGCCCCTGGCATAGCAAGTACTTAGTAAGTGCTAGCCTTTATTTCCCCGCGCTTCTCCACGCACCTGGTGAATGACTCAGTCAAGCAGATGGCTGGCCCCTCTCCCAGAGGTTGTCATCTGGAGATCTGGGGTGAGGTCCATGGATTTGCCTTCCAGATAAGCTCCCAGGTGATGCCGAAGCTGCTTGTCCACACACCACACTTTAGCATCGATTTAAGAGATAATCCAGCTTTTTTGTACACGTTCTTGTTATTTTCGTGTCATCAGAAGACTTGTGGGCAGTATGTGCTAGCTAGATGCTGTGTGCAAGTAATTTACAGAGGAGTTAAAAATATAAAGCAGATACTTCGATAAAAGCCATAAAATGGACTAAATCTTCACAAGATTAAGTACTTACATCATATACCTACCCACAAGAAGAAATGCATTTTGGGGTTGGTGAGTAAGTTAGTAATAGTGGGCATGTTGAAAGTTTTTTAAAACTCATCTTTTTAGGTCATCAAAACCTCTAGAACCAGTATCTTTCACTCAACCTTTCTTAAATAAATGATTTAGGTTAGAGAGAAAAAGACCTAATAGTGTGTTTTCAATACCCTATTTCAGAAACAAATTATTTAAAACTTACAAAAGCCAGTAGCTAAAGAAAATAAAAAACTAAAATGCAATTGAGACAAATGAGTGCTTTAAGCATTATATATGCTCTACCTTAAATAGGGATGAAGCACTCAGACATTTTAAAACAGAGAAAACTTCCAAAAATATTGGTCTAATGTCTATTTTTATAGTGAACATAAATACTGTTTGTTAGGGTATAGTTCTGAAATTAAGATCCATTTACAATTCTAGAAATAATTCTGTACACATAGCTGTCAGTATTTATACATCTTATTAAACGATTGCCGTAACATCATAGGAAGGAAAATGTTGTAGCCTTGATGGTTTGGCTCCGCTCTTGAAGTGAGAAAGGGGGGAGGGGGAGAGCTTAAAGTAGTTATAGGAGGTATTTCCTGGGTTACTTCCTCACAAGAATGTACTACCAGGCTTCATCCAAAATAACTTATTTGAAAACTGCTCAATGGGACAGGGCTGTGGGGCACCATTTAATAACCAGATGCATCATTTCTGCCACCGTGTGCACATCTCCTTTCGTTGAGCATGTTATTAGGAAGTCAGCTCTGACAGGACAGGGTTTCACCACAACAGGAGATGTGGATACGGACCTGGAGTTCCCCTACTCCAGCTTGCTGCACACTGGCCCTGCTTCATTGGCGTCTTCCCCACACCGATGATGCTGGCATGTGTCTGGTTTCTCCACTGATGGCACAGCAGAGGCGTTCACACCGGGCATTGGACTTTTTAGTTGCTATACAGAGACCACACAGTTAGAATCTCCTTAGCAGGTGTCCACCATCTGACACTGGATTATCTTGAGCAAGTATATTCTTTGCAACACAAGTCTAGTCTACTAACGACATGACTTCCTGTCATGTGCAGGTGATGTGGTGTCTTTAAAAGGTACAGTGCAATAAACAAGGAACAGCATTAAAATAAAAGACAGGGTGAAGGTAGAACACCGAATGCCCAGCTAGTTGAAACAACAGCCATCAGTGTCTGTCTCTTTCCCCATCAACTCTTTTAGCAAAATGGAATGATTGAGTTGAGCCTCATTTTAATTCCTCTCCTCAGCTTTTATGTTCCCGTGAAATTAATGATCGTGCCAGCTCTGTGTAAAGTGAGGAGACCAGGGGGTAGCTGGTGAGCCAGATAGACAAAGCCTGTTTATATTCGAGCTTTGAAACACTTGTTTGAATGCTGATTTGTGAACATTTCTTCTTGGCACCTGGTGTATATTTAATTTTTATTTCCAACGTGATTTAAAAGTGATTAAAAGCAACGGAACGGTTTTCAGAGGTGGACAGGAAAGGGTGGAAGGGAAGAAACAGAGGGCCTGCTAATCCGGCAGTCAAATAGCTGACCTGGGAGGATGAAAAGCTGGCTAAGGTTGTGGAAACAAGACGGCCCCTCGTGCGACAGCAGCCTCAGTCTCCTTTGTCGTTTTTGGACGTGAGGCAAGCAGCCAGATGCTCTGTCTAAACTGTTTGGGAATTGCTTTGAAGTCTGGCACTCTTAGAAAGGTATGATGTGACAAGTTGTTGCTTCAGTGCCCTCAAATGGCTCAATGGCCACCAGAATTAGAGCCTAAATTAGACTGTGGGCTAGGAAGTGGTTCTAGACTGGTTTTCCGCCTCCGTCCATTTCTGTGTCAACATATTCCCTTTAGTAATGTGTCTCTGGCAGGAAAGGCAACATAAAAAGCTCCTCTCCCCCACCTCTGTGTCTCCCAGCATGCATACTTTCTAAGTTTAACGTGAAGAACTCTTGTGTATATAAGTCAATTCTGTAATGACTCAGCAATTTCTTCCTGGCCAAGTCCAGTTTTAAGCCATAACCTTGTAAAATGAGCCCTATTTTGGTAGCACATGACTTATAGGATCTCCATCAAATGTACCATCCTTACTGCATAGAATATCTAGTGCAGGTGTGGACACATTCATATAGGGAGCCACTAATTCCATCCCTGTCATTGTGAGGGAAAGCTGCCAGACCCAGTGAGGTCCTCATTGAAATACCAGACCCCTCTTCGCTCAGAGCTAAACTGTACAGATAGCATACAGATATTCTTAAAAAGAGAAAGGGGCTTTGTGCCCATGTAAGGTTTGAAAATCCCTGTCTATCGTTAACCCCATTGTAGAGATGCCTGTGACATACCTGAATATCCCAGAGATCTGAGATGTTCTCCAGAAAGGAAACCTGTTCAACCTTAACTCAGCCTTTCCCAGAGTTCCTGACATGGGACACTGAGAGAATGCTGCTAAATCATTTTTATTTTTCTTGTTTCAAGGGCTCAGGAACGTGCAGCAAGTCATATTCCTGTTTATTGTTTTTCTCCTGGAAATACTGCAAAGTGTCAGCCATTTACCTAACACAGCCTATAGCTGTGTCACCCAACATTGCAGCTTTTGAATCCAGCTAGCATTTTAGAAGGAGCCTCTTTAGTATGCTTTTTGTAAAAAAAAAAAAAATAGAATCTTAATATATTACGTTGTAAGGAAAGTAAACTAGTTTTTTTGTTTTTAAAAGGGCATATTTTACCCCAGAAGGAAGAACTACATAGAATGTCAAATTATAACCACAAGTTTGCTTGGTGAACATGAAATCACCATCAACATCCACTCGCCATAACCTTTGCATTTGTCTCCACTGAAGGACAGATATGTCCCAGGAACTGGACATTGTTGCTCCTAAAACAGTGCTAGACATATTTCCCTCTCTGTCTACCTCTCTGGCTCTCAGATTATTGTTCTTATTTCATTCTTTTAAAAAAAAATAAAAATAATAGATGCACATGATTTAAAAAAGAAAAGTTCTTTGAAAATATCTGTCACTTGTCTCATCTTTTAGTTTCCACCTTCCAGGCCCCATCTCCACAGGAATCTTTTGGCTGTGTTTTCAGGAAGTCAAATGTACATTATATGCCTATATAAATGATAGGCCCATTTCTCAATGTGCTTGTTTTACACATGATCTATTGATTTCTCTTTCATCTTGATGAGGATTTTATTTCCTTACTTTCTCATATTACTTGCATCCCTCAGCATTACATCATAGGAAACAATGCTAGCTATTTCAAGTAGGAGAGGATTTCATGTAGGGAATTAAAACCTTAGGAAATCACCAGGCCCAGTGGCTGTGGTTTAGTGGTTGAGTGTCAACCCAGGAACAAAAAGGTCATGGTTCAATTCCTGGTCAGGGCACATGCCCAGGTTGTGGGCTCAATCCCCAGGAAGGTGCATGCAGGAGGCAGCCGATCAGTGATTCTCTGTCATCATTGATGTTTCTATCTCTCTCTCCCCCTCTCCCTTCCTGTGTCTGAAATCAATAAAAACATGTTTTTTAAAATTTGTTGGAAGGGCTGGAAGATCAAAGTCTAGGCTGGAGTCTGAGGAATGACTCCTGAACTGGAGAAGGTTAGTAGGCAGCCTTTTGACCGAGTGTAATTTACATATCATACAATTCACTTTTTAATATAACCAATTCAGTGAGTTTTAACATATCTATATGGTTGTATAACCATGCACCATTACTTCCAAAATGTGAAACAGTTCCATGACCCCTAACACCTCCACCATAGCCCACTCACCTCCCTCGCAGGTCCAACAACCACTGAGCTGTTTGTTACCTTTTCTAGAGTGTAGTCTTTTGTGTCTGATTTCTCTGACTCACCTTAGTGCTTTTGAAATTCATTCATGGTATTACTAGTTCATTCGTTTTTATCACTGTTGAAGGACATTTGAGTTGTTAACAGCTTTTGACCGCCTTAAATAGAGCTGCTGTGAACATTCACATGTTGTCCTTTGCATGGACATATGTCTTCACGTCTCTCGGGTAAATATATAGGAGGGGATTGTTGAGTTGTATGGTAAGAACCGAGACCCTGTTCTAGAGCAGCAGCCCCATTTTGCATTCCCATCAGCAGTGTAAGGAGTGCCAGTTGCACCACATCTTCAACACGTGGAACAATCTGTCTTGTGGTAAAGTCTTAACCTAATTTCCCTGATTCTCCAGTGGTGGCGCCTTCTAGATTTGTGATTGCATGGCCAGCCCATGCCTGGTTCCCTGTGGGAGAACAATGAATGATACATGTTTGGATCTACTAATCAGTGATGTCCAGGATGAATATAGCCTCCAGTTTTGAGACAAACAGGCAGATGGATTTGAAAAGATCATCGATCACGGTAGTGACTTGATTAATAACAGATAAAACAATGTTTTATGGTTCTCCCTCAGGCTTTTTGACCACTCCATGGAAGGATTTAAAAACTGGGAGTTCATGACTATTCACTGCTGGGGAGAACGAGCCGCCGGCGACTGGATCCTTGAAGTCTACGACACTCCCTCCCAGCTGAGGAACTTCAAGACTCCAGGTGAGAACTTCCTATCTATAATTTGGTTTGCTGTGTAGAAAAAATGAGTATATGTCGGCCAAGGAGTGCTTCACACTCACATATCAACATCATTCTTTTTCATGTGATCCTGTGTTTTGAGTTTTGTGTGTATCCCAGTTCTCAAGATTATGATTTCAGAGGTAATAATTCAAGGATAAGAAATAAAGAATAAATATTTAGATGTAAGTACAGGATAAAACATGACAGCTATTGATTGATATTTCAGAATATAAGACCCACATCTCTAACCAGCTCCCCTTACTTTCCTTGTCCATAAACAAGCCAGCCTTGTCCACCTGCACTGGGCTAAATTGCTGGGTCATAGGAGGAGACACATTTCCTTACTTACCTTTTTTCTGAGTTTACTCTACATTAAGTTTCCGTGCAGGCAAGACATTGGGCTGGCCTGTGCCAGCTAAACCGTTGCCACTAAAGAAAGTGAATGCCCCACATGAACCCAAAACTAAGGAAAAAGAAAACTTAGTTGATATGTTAAAAAAAAAAACATGGAAATTACTATGTTAACAAAGGTCTTTTCAGTTGACCTCAGACTCCTGTTGCTGCATGTGTCCTATTTCCCTCTCCATGGAAGCTATTTCTAACCTTAAAAGAGGAGAGGGGGGAGGGAGTACCAATGCAACATGAGCTGGAGAGGGAGCAGTTCCTTGCAGCAGCCTGTACTGCCCGTGATGAAGCCCTTCGGAGTACTTGGCTCAGTGACAAACGATCTGTGTGATAAGCAACCCAGCTTCCCACCCAGCGGTGGACACATGTTCGATTGTCTGAAAAACTCATACTTCTCAGTGTTCTGTCTAATCCAGCGGCAGAAGAATCAGGCCTCAGAGTGATTTTAGGATTGATGTCCAAGTCCAGCCCTTTCCTGATGGCAGAATAAATTAACCCAGACATTCTGTAGTTAACTGTAAGAGTGTGTACCATTCAGGTACAGGGGGCTGCAGAGGGAGGAGGAGGAGGCCCCCAGTAGAACACGGGTGAACACAAGTGTGCATTTACCAGACTTTGGCCCACCGGTCAGTTTCTTATTCTGAGAGGTCCATCTTTGATCACACAGTTTGGCCATCTTTTCCCTAATTCTGAGCTGGGGTTCATCTGTGTGGCCACAGTGGTCCCATAATCAGAGGTAAAACCAGCATGGTACAAGGTCACAATGAACAACATGCTCTTTGGCCCTGCTGTGGGAGTGACTGGCTGTGCTGCCCTCGCCAAAGGCTGCTCCCAGTTGATGTGTCAGCTGGTGTCACTACAGGGCTTTTATGTGGTGGGAGATCCCAGAGAAATAGACACTGACAATCTTGGCACTTGCGTACCAAGGGGTTGGGGTTGCAGCTTGCGGTTGCCAACCTTTCAGACCTCGCTCCGCGGACCACCAGTTGGTGACTGCTGGCTTAGGGTGAGGACACAAGGGTTGCATTCTCTGCTGAGAATTTAAGACAGTTATAAAACTAATTTAAAGTGACTGCTCTTTATTATCACCATGAACCAGCAATTCTAAAGGATGTCAGTGATGAAATGCTCCTCCCCTGCCCGCAAGAGCACGCTGCCCTGGGGGCACACTGCTGGTTGACCTGACATTTGTGTTCAAGGGTCAGAGGCTCAGAATATAAATCTCTCCGCCCTCAAGGAGTTCAGGGTCTATACAATTCCCTCTGATTCCCTGTGTTGAAAGCCCTCCACAGTGGCCCAGAAAATCCAGATTGTGTGTTTCATAGCATTGGCTGCTCCTTATACTTTAATGTTCACGTTTAACCCCAGTCACTTCCAATCATTTTAAAGATGTTCTTTTATGCCAGAAGAGAGATACTCTAATGCTGTTACTGGTATGTGGGTGCACGTGCACACGCACACATTTCTGTCATTTCTATGGTGAACACTCTTGTGGAAGGTCTCTCTATAATTCATGAGGGATTTCTTATTAAGCTACTAGGTATTCAGTTGGAGGTGTAGAATTTTCTAGCCCAGTTAAATGGTAGAATCATTCCCAAATAGTGGTTCCTAGCTCCAAACCAAATTTATACTTATTTATTGTTTCTTAGCATTTGCATATTATGTAAATGCATATTAAAGATTTGGGGAGCAGTTTTTTGTTTTGTTACACATTAAACCTATCTCGGGTTTTCTGTCTTGGGCAGATTGCATTTATGTTAGCAAGTAGAATGAATTTTTCTCATTCTGTATTTAAACAGCTATTTCTTAACACAGTTGCAATATCAATTGCAAAATCTCCTATAAAATTTAGCAAGTAGGAAAAGTGGTAGGGAAGAAAAAAAAACGATGGCCCAAACATGGCAGTATTTGATGTGACTTGTGGCAGGGGTTCTAAGGAAATAAAATGATCTATTAATTGAAAAATAAAAAGATGGGCTGACCCTCTCAGTGGACTTAGGAAGCGCTTCAGAAATGGCACGAAGGTAAGTAATCAATTATGAGACAGCACTCTTCAGAGCACTTAGGAGGGTAAATTTTCAAATCTAAAATAATTATAAATTAAATGAATCCGGTATTAGGGTGACCATGGGTTGGATTTCCTGTGATGTCCTTGGGTCACATGCTCCATTTGTACACTCAAGAGATGCTATAGGGAAAAGGGGTTCTCTTTTGCATGGCTGTCTACAGGCTGTCATTCATTTCTACTTAACACACACCACTTGGAATTCTGAGATTAAACAGCACCCTGATTATGAAAAGGACAGTCACCAATGAGTTCAAAGAAAAGCTGGCAGAGGGTAAACCTCATGGACACCAGTGTGCTGTCCCAGTGCAAATGTCAGAAAACAGTGTGGCACAGAATAACGTACATGCAATTTTACACGTCAGGTTCCTAAACTCCCAGAAATGAACAAAAAGGCCGTGTTACATATAATGGTTTACAAATGGCAAGATTTTCTTTTCAGAGCTGAATAATATTCCACTGTGTGTGTGTGTGTGTGTGTGTGTGTGTGTGTGTGTGTGTCACAGTTTCTTTATCCATTCATTCATTAATGGAAACTTAAGTTGCTTCCATGTATTGGCTATTGTAAATAATGCGGCAGTGATTATTTATAATAAATACATGTAAACAATCATGTGATACATACACCTCCACATGTGGTGTGTGTATCTTTCCAAGTTGTTGTCTTAATTTTCTTTGGATAAATACCCAGAAGAGGAATTGCCGGACCATATGGTAGCTCTATGTCTACTTTTTTTAAGAAACCTCCATACTGTTTTCCACAGTGGCTGCACCAATTTACATTCCAGCCAGTTGTGCATGAAGGTACCCGTTTCTCCACATCTTTGCCAACACTTGTTATTTCTTGTCTTTTTTATAATAGTCATTCTAACAAGTATGAGGTAATATCACATTGCAGTTTCTCTGTTGATTAGTGAGAACTGATGTTAGCAACAGAACTATTGCTCATCTCTCTGCTGCCCTCTTTTTGGGGTTAAGTGATAGTGTCAGCTTAAAAAAGCCTTCAGGGAGAGACTCAATCATGTTAAGAGTCATGGGTACCACATGACCAGTATTGCTCTGCCCAGGGCTAATTCAGCTCTTAACAGATTCCCCCAGGGAGATTACATCAGTCAGTCAGTCTACTGAAAACCTAAGGCTCATTTTTTCTCTCCAAAAGAGAGAGAAAAAATTGCCACTCGGCATGGTAGGATGTCCAGTCGTTTGTATATCATCTACATATCTACATCTACATCTGTCCCTCTTCAATCTACCTACCTATCTACCAATCCAGTTTCCTCTGTAGCAAGGCTCAGCAGCTTATTAACCGCAAGGGCCGTCATGAAAACCAAGCAGTGCCTCCTGGTGCCACTCTGTGAGAGCCATGGTGAGTGAAGGAAACAGAGGCTGGGAGATGGGCACACAGAGTTGGTCAGAGTCTCCAGGAAGTTTGAGCAAGTTAGCTAACTTGGCAACAAATTTTTTTGTATGTTTATTTTGTATCAACTTTACTGAATTAGTTCTACAAGTTCTTTGGTTAAATCTTTAGGAATATATATATATAAATTATATATATATGCCTAAGCTACCATCACAACCGAATGGACGACCAAACAGGCTGCGTGAGGCAACCAGGCCGGCACAGGGGTTAGTGAGGAACAACCAAACGACTGAGCAGCAGGCTGCGTGGGGCGACCAGACCGGCACAGGTGTTAGTGAGGGACGACTAAACAACTGAACAGCAGACTGCGTGGGGCGACCTGGCCAGCAGGGGGGTTAGTGAGGGACGACCAAATGACTGAACAGCAGGATCAGGCCTAAACTGGCAGTCAGACATCCCCCAAGGGGTCCCGGATTGGAGAGGGTACAGGCTGGGCTAGGGGACCCCCGCCCCGCTCCCCCCCCCACATGAATTTCATGCACCGGGCCTCTAGTATATCTACACTAATAAAAGAGAAACATGGTAATTAGCATACGACCGCTACCCTTCCCATTGGCTAATTAGCGAGATATGCAAATTAATCACCAGCCAAGATGGCGGTTAACTGCCAACAAAGATGGCGGTTAATTTGCATATGTAGGCACAATGCAGGGAGGCAAAAGGGAAAGCACGGAAGAAGCCCCCTGGCACTGACAGTGATCGGAAACCCAGGGGGGAGCTAAGAGCCGGGGG